ACAGCAATAAGTGCTATACCTGGTAAGAGAGAAGGAAATAAAACAGGAAGGACTTTATATACCATTTTAAGAAAGTTTCACTGCCAACCAAGTTTGACTAGAGAATCTATGAAGAGTTTCAAGAAAATAGCTCACATAATTAGATCTCTAGATTGAAACATTGTGTTTTGGAGACTGGACTGGAAGCAGAAGAGAATAGAGGCAGAAAAACCAATAAGAAACTATTGACATCACCAAGCAAGAAATGATGAAACCCAGAATTAGAATATTATCAGGGGACTGCAAAGAGGATTGCATTTCAAAGCCATTTTAATTCAAATACAGATTTGAGGATTTGAGGACTGACTTGTGAAGACCAAAAGGAAAAAAGAAGAAAGGAAGGTTTTATGTTTCTAGAAGTGTAATGTTTCAGTTAGCTTTTGCTGAGTAACAAAACACCCCCAAACTAAGTGACTTAAAACAGCAATATGTTAGTCCACTGGGCATTTCTGCTGAACTGGGCCTGGCTTGGCTGATGTTGGCTGGGCTTGCTTAGGTGGCTGTAGTCAGCTGGGGAATGGCTGATCTAGCATGGCCTGAGACGGGATGGCTAGCCTCTGCTCCATGTAGTCTCGCATCCTTCAGCAGGCTAGTCCAGGCTTTTCCACAGGGAGGCTGGGAAGGGTTCTAAGACAGCAGAACCGTGCAGAGACAATAGACCTGAGGTTCAGAACTAGTACATTATCACATTAGTGAAATCAAGTCACAAGGCCAGTCTCTTTTCAAAGGGTGGGAAAATAGACTATATTTCTTGATGGGATGAGCTACAAGGTCATATTGCCAAGGGTTGCTGACTTAGGGAGGAGAAAAAATGCAGCCATTTTTGTAAACAATCTACTGCATGTAATAATGTATTAATAGGAAAAGAAAGTAGGTAAGATGGATTGGATTTGAAGGGAAAAATAAAATCTTTTAATATTTTGAGTTTCAGGCTCTGTCTAAACGTCTAGAAATATTCATTGAGAAATTGAATTCAGGAAAGGTAAGGAGACTTGTATGGGTTATGAAATTACTTTGAGACACATTATACATAGACCCAGATATGCAGTAATCCATCATCCTTTCTGCTAATGTATTTATTTATTTCGAAGGTACTTTAGGAGGATCCAATAATCAATTTTCATTCATTCACTTAATCATTCCTTGATTTTCTCTCTCCTCTTCTTTTCTCTTTCTCCTCCCTCCCTCAGTTCTTTTTTTCTCTCCAATGTTTATTGAATATTTAATATGTGCTAGATGGTATATGCACGGAAAAAAGAATTAGACCTTACCTTATAAATTGTTTAGTTCAAATTAGACTACAATGTAATTATTAAAAACTCTGACTGCCATTCTCACCTAGGAAGATATTTATCAGTTTTGAGCTTCAAGTTAGTAATAATTTAGTCAACCAGCTTTATTTACCCTTTGGCAAATAAATGAATACCACAGAGAAGCAGACTGAATAGAATTAATTGCAAACAGTCATTTGTAACTTAATTAAACATTTCACTCCTGAAGCAGGAATTAGAATGTTTCATGAGGCTGATAATTGGAGTATGTGAAGCCTATGCTTCTGTTGGCTAAGAATAAGAAACTGAACAGGAGAGTGCCATTGTTTACCACATTGCTATAGTTTTAAGATAGGTAGTTTAATATCTCAACTAAAATTGATTTTAAAAGTGTAATGTTTTATTATGTGTAGATATAATCTTTTTTATTAAACCAAGGTCATTTTGTTCAATTAAAACTAATTAAATTTGAAAAATTCTTTTCAAATACGTGCAATGCTTATTTATTTATTTATTTATTTTTAAATTTTATTTTATTTTGTCAATATACAATGTGGTTGATTATCGTGGCCCATTACAGAAACCTTCCTCTTCCCCCACAACCTCATGTCTGTTCGCTTGTTGTACCAACTTCAAGGAATTGTAATTGTTGTGTCTTCTTCCCTCCCCCACCCCCAGGTTGTTTGTGTATTTATTTATTTATTTTTAGCTCCTGCAAATAAGTGAGAACATGTGATATTTCTCTTTCTGTGCCTGTCCATGTTGTTGCGAATGGCAGTATTTCATTCTTTTTTATAGCAGAGTAGTATTCCAGTGTGTAGATGCTTATTTATGAAATAAAACCCACAACTTACCCTAGCTGAGAAATTAACTTATTTACTAGTAGGTATATGCGAGGGTCTCAGTCTTTAGTGAGTGATGGATGGAGATGAAATTTTGGCTTTCAGAGTTCAGATCATCTGTTGAATATTGTTGTTTAAAGAAGAGTAGCTATAAAGAGAAATGCTTATAAATCTTAGCTCTCTTACCAGTATTAAAAAACTATACCTTCAATTTCAACTGAAATTATTGCATAGTTTACACATTTATCCTGTATATATGCAAGTTCTTTCCAAGTCCTCCATTTTGGTGATCCTGTTACAAATATCTCTTCAAAATATTTTTTAAATATTTCAATTAAATATCTACACATAAATGTTTAAATTTTTAATATTCAGATGTGTAAAATTAAAAGATATATACAATCTTCATTTGTCAATAAAATATTTTAAAAATTAAGTTAAATTAAAGAAGGAATACAAAAATTCCCAAGTAGTAATGCCACTCGCATTCTTTAATTCTGGTTAAATATAAAGAATACAACCCCCCCCCCAAAAAAAAAAAAGAAAGAAATCAAATGAGAAAGGAGGTGAGCAATGTTGTTTAAACTTGAATTGCCAATTATATACAGTATTTATATTTTTTGTACTTCCTGCCTAGCACATCTAACTGAGAATTCCCTATATCCAGCCTAGAAAAGCACAGCAGTGTATATTTCTCCTAATATGTTTTGGTTTTCCTGTCCTTTAACCAACCTGTTTGATCATGTTAATATAGATCTAGAATCCACTGTGCAAAGAATAGATTCATTTTTAAGACTTGTAAAAACTTGTTCTTTTAACAAACTAACCCTGGCTTTTTACATCTCTCACTGTCTGGATGTACATTATATCCTGAGTTGCATAAGTGTGGCCCTGTCAAATTTAGAACGAGCTGACCCTCAACAACACCTACCTGATGCAAGAAGGCAGTAGCCATAATCAAAGCAGGGTTCTGCAGTCAATACTTCTCAATTCACAGGAAGAACTTAATTAGTTTGGTCTCTGGTGAGTTTCTGTTTTACTCACACAAAGTAAGATATATTACAGTTGGATCAAAGATTAATGGGTAAATAATTTGTAAGAATATAACTCAAAGTTTCCAAATCAGAATTAACGGGAAGGAGGGAAAACAAAGTGGAGAAAGAGAAAGAGAAGAAAGGAGGAGAGGAGGACAGCAGAAGGAGGAGAAATATTACGATTTCTCAGGGGCTGCTCCTTACGCTTCTAGCCTCTGGCTACGTGATTTCTGTATTGTAGGAAGGTTGTGGAAAAGGATACCTGGGAGGTCCACGAAAGCTACAAGAACCTACAAAAACACTTGTAGTAAGCTTTGAGGGATAAAAGGAAATATCCACATTTTTACTTTATGATTCATCCATTTTGACATCCTGGACATTTTGACATCCCAACATAAAAGGGTATTATTGCTGAATTATTTAGGATTATTAAATTATTCTATAGAAGACAGGAGAAAAGAATTAGGAGGATAGGAAGAGCTAGGTATAAATGGTAGGTAGCTTGTGAGAATCGTTAGACCCAGGTAAAGTGAGATAAGCCTAAGTGTGTGGGACTAGATAGGAAGGGAGAGAGAAAAGGACCAAGTAAACACTGATAGTCATGGAACACTAAGTATTCATCAGTTGTTGGTGACCCCCATTCTGGGCCCACATGTCTCCTGCCTGAGATATGAAGATAACTTCCAGAATTTCTCAGCAAGTTGCCAGTGAGTGATGGCTACTGGCCAGGGGCCCTTGCACATGTGCCTCTCTGCTGGAGGAAGTGAGTGCTAGTTTCAGGGATCTTACAGAACCTCTTTACAGCTCACCTTACACTCTGGACCTTAACCCACACCACCGGCTGGGCAGGCTGATGTGTCAGACAGAGAAGCAGGATACAGGAACGTAGTGTAACACTGGACCCAGGTATTGTGGTCTTTCCATTCTGCTCTTCCTTTCCTGAGTTTATAAACCTCCCCCCTCTCTTTCTCCTTGCATCTGGCTGTATGATTTAGCAAGTCATATGACCTGAGCATCTTACTTTGGTCTAAAAACCTTTCTGTTCTATGGTCTCAGGGATAATTTGCTTAAAGCACACTTGGAGGCCACTAGGATTTCAAGAACATATCCCACCACATGAGATATAATTGAGTCCACCTGGTGATGTTTCTGGATTAGGAAAAACATACTATGTGGTTTCTCATATTCACATTAGATTTTTTTTAGCAACGAGAATTTGAATCACACCCCAGTGACTTGTTTCTGGCCAATGATACTAGTTGTTTCTGTTTTATTTTGTTTGTGCCAGTTAGCACCATAGTGTCTGAATTATATTCTTAGCTTTCTGGATGCTAAAATGTTCACCATCTTCAAACATTTGCCATAGCACATGTCTCATCCAAACTTCATGACTCTAAAGCACTTTCTTCTGCTCTTACAATTAAATCCTTTCCCAGACACTGTTATTTTGAAGGGGACAGTAGTCTTATGTGTAGTATAATAATTTAAGGAGCTCCCAGTGCTGTATGCTAAATGCTTATATCTCCAAAGAGTAAAGTAGAAATGGATATTTCCCTCTGAACCTGTCCACCTCTCCCCATGTCTCTGGTATATGGGCTTTCAGATGTACATGAAATGTTTCTTCATGTGTGGAAAGTTTTTTTCAGCAAGCTTGACATATACAAACAAGAATTGCTGCAACTCCAATTTGCATGTGAATAACAAGAGAAAGCCAAGTTTCCAGCTACAGCAGACAATTCCATTACTAAGTTATTTGCAGGCAATAAAATTTATTTTTAAAGTGCTAAAATAATGGATCTATATTGCTGTAGACTACTGAAAATAACACACACAAATATTTTGGACCCTCAAATGATGTGTTTGATTAAGTGATTAGGCGGAAATAAATTCGACTGTTGAATGAACACATTTTATTTTTATTTATTTATTTATTTATTTTTTATTTTTTTCCTTTTTTTTGTCTTTTTTACTGACCGGCAACGGGATCACAACCCTTGGTGTCGCGCCCGCAACGGGATTGCAACCGAGTCGCAACCCTCAGTGTCGCGCCCGCACCGCGCTCAGCCAGTGAGCAGGAACCGGTCTCCACCACAACCCTTGGTGTCGCGCCCGCAACGGGATCGCAACCGAGTCGCAACCCTCGGTGTCGCGCCCGCACCGCGCTCAGCCAGTGAGCGGGAACCGGTCTCCACATGGGATCCGAACCCTCGGCGGGAGCACTGCCACGCTCCCAAGCAGTGCACTATTCAGTGCGCCACTTGGCCGGCCCACACATTTTATTTTTAAATAGAGTCTTTATGAGGAATCTGGCACTTAGAACAGATTCAGTGCGCCACTGGGCCGGCCCACACATTTTATTTTTAAATAGAGTCTTTATGAGGAATCTGGCACTTAGAACAGATAAATTAAGGTTTAGTCTTGGACACTTGGCATCTTATGGTCTTCCATAAATAAACCTTGGGAATTCTATAAAAAATTTCATGCAGAGACTCAAGACACCTAAATATCCTTCACCCCCAAACAGTTCTCCTCAGTGAAGGTTATTCGCTTTCTTTACACTCTTGTCAGGACAGGACGGATGTAAAAATGTAAGAAATGAAGAGGATCCCCACCAGCCAAGCAGAGTGGCCAGAACTCCACCTCTACTCAATGGGGCAGCCATGGCTTTTGTCCTTAGGTGCAAAATACTAAGTACATTGATTTCTTTGCTGTACATGATACTAAATGTTTCCAGGTACAGCAAACCTTTTATAATTCTTAACATTACAAGACAACATTGTCGTAGGTTCTATAGCTCTCCATGTTACATTAGACTTTATATATATTTATATAAAATAATTTGCTGGCATAAGAACAAAAAATCCTTATCCATACGATTATAGTTTATTCAGGTAAACATGAGTAACTTTTTTTTCCCATTTTTTCTTGTATTTTGACAACATGTTGGTATTACTAATTAACAAATTGTTTAAAATATGAAACAAATAAACAAATGAGGCCAATCTCCACCAACAAACATACAAACATTTTTAAAAGAACTTTTACTGCCTGTTACTTCAGAAAAAAGAAAAGGAAAACAAATCTTTAAAGCCTACTGAATATCTAGTATGTTCCAGGCCCTATGCTAACTAATAATTTTCACATACATCATTTCATTTAATCCATAAATGTCTCATAATGTCTCCTTTCTTTCCCTCTGCCCCAGTGGTTCCTTGCCAATGTACACTGCACTAGAATGTCATAAACTGAAATTTCTACTACAGGCATCTTTACTGACCATTCTCCTGCTCTGGAAAAGCTTAGCTGACACTTTACTAGGGCCTTGATTAAGTGACAAGTGACTTGGTAAAGATGACATCATCACCAAACAGTTTTTTTTTCTTCCCCTTTTTTTTTTTTTTTAGGAAAACTACACAAAGTCTAGCATGGACTGTTAATGTCAATTGGCTTGATGAAATGGGAGTTACATCATTTACAATTTAATGCCCTAGTTATAAGGCTAAATTAAATATAAACTTAGAAGAAAAAAGAAAAATGCTGCTCCCATAGAAATGAAATAATCTACTAATAATGAAATAAATCAAAATCTAAGATTTAGTGAATATGTGTCTTTCTTCCACTGATGGGTGATGAAATATCTCTTCATTAAAAAAAAAATGGAGATTGATTTGATTACTCAATTAAACAATCAACAGCTATTTATTGACTTCCTACAATGTGCATTATTTGTTTAAAATAGTTCAATTTTCTGAAGTCCCTATATGCTTCCTAATTGTTATGTGAATAAGTAATATTATTTTTAAAGACATTTTTTGCCTCGTTTATCTGAAGTCTCGTGCATACCTAATAATTCTTGAAAAAAAATCTATAATAGACTCTATTCACATATACACTTTCCTTTTTTTACAGACGTAATAACTTCGTATAGCATACATTATACGAAGTTATACGATGATGTTTTAAGATGATAATGTCAATCTTTTATAAATAATGCATATATAAAGATTTTATTTTCTGCTCTAGGTCACAGATATTTTCAATGGGAATCCTAAATAACTGATGTTTTAAAAATTCAATTTAATCCCCAACCAAAGGATTT